AGTTGGTTGGCAGCCACTTTCGTGTAGTACTGTACGTATCAATCAACGGAAACGAGAGTGTATTTTTTTTTTTTGGAAAAGGGGCATAACCCGGCCTCTGCATCAGAAAGATGCATACGGCCACCTTTATTAAAAGAAAATAGGTCCAATAAATGTCAGTAGCTCCGTTACAAACTAGTCCCCAAACGGCTCACAAAGAGCAGGAAAATAAAAGCCACGACCGGCATGCAAAATAAAGATAAAAAAACTAATTGCCTATCCTATTACATGACCGCCATCCAAACCGGCTGCATATAGTCGGAGCTACAATCTCCCATTGGGCAGATCCAGTAACCAAATGCTCTCTGGCCTCCCGTCTGAGCGAGAATGTTGTCAGACTTCTTATTTTCCCACCGTCTGCTAACGGAGAGGACCTCTCCTGACAGGGAAGGAGGAGGAAGATGCCGGCCCGCCGCTCATGCACCACGCATCAGCTGGCCGCCTATGGTCCTGTTTGGATCCATGGGTTAGAGTTATCCAAAAATATCCAAACAGAAGGGTTAGTTTGGGTTAGATGCATCTAACCCATTAAAAAAATCTATCCACCCAGGAGGTGCTTATTTGGATTAGTTCTTCTCGGGACCACTAAAAAACACTTTTTTTTCGTTCTCCCCGCAACAGATCCCTCCCCACTTTCTCGAAGCTTCTCGTCATCTTCCTCCTTTCCTCTCGCACCAGCCGTGAAGACGCCTCGCCGTATCCACGCTCCATCTAACCCTACCATCTAAACACCTCTTTCGCTAGAGTTAGTTCATGGTTAGTTCAGGGCTAGAATCTAACTCTAACCTCTAACTGAGTTAGAGTATCCAAACAGGGCCATAACCCAAATTCGCTGCCGGATCAGATTAGATTAGGCGCCAAGTAACCTCGGCCGACACATTTGCTTAAAAAAGAATACTCGTACCACCGATGGCCGGAGATCACACTGCCGGCAGCACACACAAGCAGGTTGTAGTACAGCTACAGGTACGTCCGTCTCGCGTGCACATCCGCACATGGGCCCGGGCCGGCGTCTCGGTGGCATAGTGGGCGGATCACGCAGCCGCGGATCTGGTCGCCGGCGCGGCGCGGAATAATTCGCGTGAGCCGTGGCCGGTGAGGATGCGGCCGGAAAGGGACAGCCAGCCAGCGGTCGACCGGCCGCCCCTGCGATCACGATTCACAGGTGCACGTACGTACTACTCCGCGTACGACGACTACGTGCCCGCCTCCCGTCCCGTGGTCGCTGTCCGCATTTCCGCCCGCCGCCGGGCCCGTGCCGCCCCCACGACGCGGAGAGGGACTTTTGAGGTGCCGGCGCCGCGCGCGCCCGTGGTTTATTCCCTCCGCCCCACCTTCCCGGCGGGTCAGTGGCACGTCGACGTATGCCCGCCCGCCGGGTCGCCGTCGCCTTTCCATCGGCGGCGGTGAGCTCCAGCCAAGTCTCCCGGTCCCTCTCTCCACGACGTGTCGTGAGGCGCACCGATCGGCTTGATTAGTTTTACTTTCTCTTTCATTTTCCTGCCACGCGCTGCCGCATGACTCCGGATTCGCCGGTCTCTTGACTTTGGTTGACCGACCGCGGGCACGATGCTTCGCGGGTCTGCTGACTCCGCGTAGTAGCAGCGGTAGGTGGAATCCGCGTCAGTCATCGTCGTGTGGACGCAGCCATGCAGATGCGGCGCCGAGGCTTTATCGTTGTTTATTAGTACACGAGTACAGTTAGTATTACTTGGACGAGCCACGGCCTGATGGCCAGCTACTGTCGACCGACTGCGACGGCGAGCGAGCGGCGTGATGGGCCGTGGGGACGCACGATCGCGGCAGGTGAGGTGAGGTGGATTTGGATGTGTCCCCTCCGGCGGTGACGCCTCGTGCTCGTGGGGCTCCCGCGCCCGACGCGGTCGTGTGACGTTTCCGATTTCGGCGGATACGATGCGATGCCCTCTCCCTACGTGCGCACCGCGGTCGATCGTCCGCGGCTTCGGCGAGGGCAACGCGCCGTGTGACTGGCTTCTTTTTCCTTTCCGCTTTCCGGTAATGGGAAGGATTGGGCATAGTATTGGTTCTCCGGTGGTGGTTGATCGTGAAGGAGGAGCGGCGCCTGATTTGCCGTCTGCTAGTACTAGTGTTTATGCTAGTTTGCTCGGCATTGGCCAGACCGGAGATGGCCGCGTGAGCAAGCAACATCCTGCCTGCCTCCTCAGGAAAGGCACTCGCTCCAATCCATGCTCAATTTCCTGCGAGACCAACATAGATGACCGGGGAAACAAAATAAGGAGTCAAGCCCCGGCCGGCCTACTCGAAAGCACGCTAGCTAGGATTAACATGGAGCGTGCTCCTTCTCTTCTCGCTCACTGCTGCCACTGATGGAGGGGAACTGGTCCTCTGGCCTTGGAGAGTGGCCGATTTCAGCAAATTCAGAGGGGCAATGAAATGAAGCTGCATCTAGTTTTCAGGGGGGAAAATGGAGGGAAGGAAAATCCTTGCCCACACTGGGATATTCTCTCATGTGCAGCTAGTATACATGTCATCTCATCACTGCTGGCCCAAGGGCTGCATTCCACACGGAATTGACCTCAAGCAAGCTCGCTCTATTTTTCGTTTCTTTTGCCAGAACGGGTGCATTCGCAAAAAAAGAAAAAAAAAGAACGGGTGACAGGTTAAGTCTTCACTGCAGGCTGCAGCTCGCGGATGGAGACCACAACAGCGCAAGGATAGCCCGATCATTACGAGGTTACTGGCCAGTTTCTGCTGGTATTCATGCCCCCAGTCTGCCTTTTGCCCAGTTATATATGTGGTGCAGCTGTGGTTTTAGTTTAGCGGCTAGGCGCGTTTGGATTAGTAGGTAGGTAGCGATGCCACTATCATCTACCGTGGGCTCTTTGGTGTTGTCCGTTGCTTATTTGGATAATAACTGTCGTAGTATAAGACTGCTACCTGCAAATGCAATGTTCTGGTTTGGGGCAGTGGCTTCTGATGAGTTGCTGCGGATCAGTGGCAAGTCACCCTAAATTTTCACCAGTGTCGAGGCTGTCTGAATGTATCGGTTTTTCGTCGGGTTTTTCACAGTTAGCGGGATAGCAATGTTCTTAGTTAATGGAACCATGTTGCCTCGGTTTTAGAAACAAAATAAATCCGAGCTCAGTGCAAAACTGGCCAAGGAAAGAAAAATGTGGCCATGCTGGGCCTCCCTCTGCACGTGTAGCATCCATTCAAGTTTACTCCAATAAACAGATGGCTACCACCGGACCAATCAAGAGGCAAAAAAAATCATACAGCTTCAGTGCGCAGTGCCGCCATATCTTCAGACCTACCTGGACCTTGATATTATGCATACAAATAAGGAAGATAGGAATTAATGTATGTGTTCTGATTTTTTTGGGCGCCCATGATATCAAGCTAGGAACAAGGGATGAGACTTGCCTGCTCCCTCCGCGTGCACCCATCCATGCTCCCGCATACGTGGCATGATTTGATTGGAACAAAATAAGGCCCGGCCCCACCCCCTTAAAATCAGGGGGGGAGATGATTAGATTAGAAAAGAAAAGGGAAAAAAGACAGCCGTAGGATGAAGTGGAAGCACGGATGGGAGCACGGGGAGGGAGCAGGCAAGCCGGATCCAGGAACAAGGCTGCCCAACTCCACCAACATAATAATAAGCAAAATAAAAGAACATGTCCTGAATCCCGATAATAACTATATAGAGATAATGAACAGTTTGACCACAAAAGTTCTGGAAGGAGAAAGGAGCGATAGGATGTCTTTTACTTATCCTGAACCAACACAGCTAGTCGCCTTTCGAACTCCTTAACCTCGATTTTTTTTTTCAAGAAATACAAACATGGGATTATTTCCCTGCATAAAGAGATGAACAGCTTCATGAGGCCTAGGGCTTCCTTCCCAAGAAAAGAAAAAACCCTGCTAAATCACACATTTACAGTTACAAATAAAGATGTATGTCAGGTCGGGTTCCAGTCTACTCCATTTACACAATTACAAATAAATAACTCCAATCTCGAAAGCATTTTGAGATGGAGCAGTGCCTTTTGGCGGTAATATATCAACAAGATAATCATGGAGATCAAGGAGGATAAAAGGATCTGACCTTTGGGTAGTAATACATGATTACAATCAATAGGGTATTCAAGTTCAAAAGTAAAACAAAACTACCCACACCAAATCCAGACTCTTACAAAAAATGGTGACTGATAGGCACTGTAAGAGGAAACAAACAGGCATCATATGGCTCGTATTGACCGAGAAAACTAGAGAACCACACCAAAGAACAGCATGTCGCGACAGAACCAATCAAGGCAGAGCTTCCACTGGTAAGCAAATAAGAAGCCAAGATTACGGCATGTTATCATAATCTTGACGAGGTAAGACCGTAAGACACATCGTTCGCCACTGTGTTTAACATGGGGCAATCATTGTAGAAATAGGAAGTGTGAAGTTAACAACAGCCGTAGTGTATTAAGCTCTGCACAATATTTGTCGAAAAAAGCTCTGCACAATAGTGCAGCTGCAGATTAAAATCAAGCAGATCAGATTGGTAATGCAGAAACGGGTTATTTCCAACTGTAAATAAAAAGGTGATAATTTCTCAGGTTATTCAGCTGGTACTCCCTCCCCCACCCCCTGTTTCTGGTAGATCAAATATTCACATGGTTATAAAATGATGGAGATTGAGGAAGAAAAACAACACTGAAATTTCTGACTTTCAGGTAGAAATACATAACTAGAGAATTCAACATGGGGCAATCATGGAGTAACCTGGCATCCACCATACTACACACTTTGTAATCTGGCAGCTCCAACAGCACACAAATAGACTGCCAGGCATCAGACTGTACGAGTGCATCAAGTTCTGCACCGAGAAGCAGCTGCAAGTGAGGAAGCAAAGTACACAAACGGCAGATGGGTGATATTGACACAGGATTATTTCCATGTATGAACGATACAGTTAATGATTTCTCAGATTATTCAGCTGGTACTATTTCTTCGGATTCAGAGATGGATGCGCCGGCAGCAGCAGCTTCATGAGGCCTTGAGCGTCTGCAAGGAGGTGGATCTTCGCTCCCAGGTATCTGGTAGATCACATATTCACACTGTTATAATACGTCCAAACTTTCATTGAAGAACAATACAAGACTAGAAAGCCATGGAGATAACAGGGACATCGCAATGAACAAAAGACACAAAAACCTTCCAGGGCTAAGCAAATAAGCGATTAACATTGAAATGCAGAGTAGAAATGGTCTCCATAAGCACCATTCTTTTTCAAAAAAAAGGTTTCCCCAGTGACAGTGCTGACCTGGGAAGTCGATGGAGGGGCACCGGCATTTCCTTCTTCATTTGAAAGCTCTGTCCTCTGCAGCCTCTCCTGCAAGGTCTCCATCCCTATGTGTGATAGCAGCAGCCAGACATAAGTGAGGAGCTCAGGGCCAGTGCCCAGGCTCTTTGCGTGTAGGTACCCTCGGCACCTACTGGCTGAGAAACAGAGCATCTCCACCCACACACCTTCGATCACCTCCCATGTCTTGCTCTCATCACCCAAAGACAACAGCGCTTCAGAAATCTTACAGGCATCATGGATAAAACAACCTTCCTGTGCAGTTGGATATTTCTTTGCATCAGGCGGCGAATGTGTGTGTTCAACAACCTGTTCTTTGTATTGTGTGGGCTGCAGCACCTTGCCAATTATTCTCTGAGTAAATTCTTTTTCGATTTCATTGAGCAATGGCTTTCTGCCTGTGAAGAACTTAAGAAATGGCTTATTGCCTTTGAGGATCTCCATGAGTGAAGGCTCGTCACCCTTGAGCACTGGCGGAGCTACAGCTGGGCCAAACCAGGCCATGGCCCGCCCAGCCACACAAGATATCAGTCTAGATTAGTGTACAATCTGGCCGTAAGAGCAAAATTTTAATGGTCCTTCCTATACCAATCAGTTTTGGCCCGCCCGCCCACACAAATGACTGTAGCTCCGCCACTGCCCTTGAGGATCTTCTCGAGCGATGGATCGTCATCCTTGAGAATCTCCTCCAGTTCAGCATTAGCGGTGATGAGCAGATTCCGCCTAGAACCCGACAGTAGCATCTCAGGGTTAACAAATAGTAGGTACATCAAGTAGTTGGACATCTCCCGGCACCGGACGGCTCTACCGTGATGATGAGATCTTTCACACCAAACAGCACAACCATGGCCTTCACCTGATGCATCTTCAATACACTGAGCAGTGGCACATTGGTGATCTGCTGATGCGCCCAAGTGGTAGAAGCAGAAATCCGTGGCGATGTGCCAGAGAAGGACGCTCTCGTCAAATGGACTCCTTAAGCTCCAACCCAGGTCTTGGTCACACTTGTTAGCCTGAAGAGTACATTGCCCCCTGCGGTCATTGAACTTCCAGTAACTGCCAACATCTTTTATCTGATCTTCCCACCCTTTCTTCCCATACTTGAGGACTAACCCTGTTATTGCAAAGGAAGAGTTGCAGGGCTTCATGAACCAATGTTGGTAAAAAAAGTCGTTGCAATTCAAAAAACTCAGGATGCTGGTCATCTTTGTGTGCTTTTTGTTGTGGACAAAGAACCCTACAAGAGCATATTGGCCTATGAGGCTATCTTTGAGTGCACCAATGATCATGAAATTTCTTAGCTCAGTGATAGACGGGGCAACCTTCTTTCTTGCCCACTGAAGAGACAGGGCAACCTTCTTTCTTGCCCACTGAAGCTTGGACAGGATGGTCCTTTGCCACTGGAACGGGGGAACTTCACTCCCTCGCCGTTGGGCATTTTCTAGCTTTGTCCGTGCAGACAGGTCAAGCGCCCATCTTACGAATTGTACTGCCCAATCCCCGTCAGGCGTCCTAGAACTCGAATGGACTTGCCTTTGAGCCTTTGAAGAAATATGATTAGTTGAGAAAAACCTGCAGAAGTACTCCAACACTGCGGTACAGCAGAACAAGACATATGTAACCTTGACGTCGTTATCATCATAAGCTTCTCTGTGACTATTGTGGAAGAGGGCGAGGGCTGCCCATGGCAGTACGTTAGCTGGTAGACGTATGAACAAAGCACCAGGATTCATATCTGGTTGTTCCCCCGTTTCATCACAAAGCTCGATCATCTTCTTTTTCGTGTATAAAAGATTAAACGTGTTGGATAGCCTATTTTGCAACAAAACATATGCTTGTTTCTCATGAAGCAACCCAAAGGATTTTAGGATGCCAAGTCAATCAGGATAGGGCGATGCAAGGTCCACAAATAGCTTATAGACCTCAAGGTCCACATTATAGTCATCAACTTGGCCTCTACTTGTCTGTGTGCTTGGCGTCTGAGATCCATGGTCGGGCTCAAGATCCACCACATCATCTTCTCCTTGTGCTTGATCAGGAACATGGTTGTTGGCCTCAAGGTCCGCCGCATCACCTTCTTGTGCTTGATGACAAGGGTCAGCCTGGACAAAAGCCCTTGCTTTTTGCACGTAGTCTTCGAGCGAACTGATCTCGCCTTCTCTGTTTGCGGTCCTCCTTGGAGCGGGGCTGGAAAAGCTGACTAGGCTGTTTATGCTGGCGCTCTTGAGAGCCCAGGGCTTCTCTATGCATTTGAGGATCCCAGGGATGAAGAACAAGATTGCGGCCTGCAACAACCTCTTGTCGCCGCCTGGCCATGATTTGCAGAACACGTAGACGGCTACGGTGATCTGCGACACGGCGGTGAGGACATGCCGCGTCCATAGCTCATTATCTTCGATGTTGTAGGCGGTTATGACGTCCTGTCCGCCAAGGTGCATCAGGAGGACTGGTGCCCACACCACTTCCAGAACGCTATTGCGTTGCCCAGAGTTACAATCTTGCCTCCTCTCACGGCCGAAAAGGACGGCAAGAGCGTATATGGCCAGAGCGTCGCTGCCTATGTAGGCAAGCCATATCATGGATCTGAACCAGGAAGGGATAGCGAGCTTACGCAGGGACGCGAAGAGGAGGAGCCACTGAACGAGGAGGCTGCTGAGCACGAGGATGAGCAGCTGCCACTCTCCCCACCATAGCACGGCACTTGAGAGACCCACCATCTCTGGTCCTTGCCTGATATCTCCCCCTCTCAGCTCTCACTCAATCATCAGTGTAGTCAGTACTGAGTGTTAGTCATGCACGCACAAAAGTGAGAGGCCGATTCATTGCAACCTGATAACTACGGCGTTGTCGCATGTTGAGCGGATTTCTTACACTATAATAACTTACACCGAGGGGCTACATCATCAATAACTATAATCATATTGTACTTGACTCTATGGGCTTGTCTTGTCTAGTGATTTGCCTCTAATGGCCCGGTAATTTATGTGTGAATAGCAACTTGCAGTGGGCGCGTCGGGCAGGAGCATGACTTGATCATGTTTTCCTTGGCCTGACTTCAGGCCGGCCTATCAAATCCTTAGGTTGGTTATTCTATCTAGTCCACTCTGCCCTAAGATATCCATGGGTGGGAGAACTGAAGTCTCAATTCTGTTTCTTGTCTTAGCCACACCTCAATGGCACGAAGGAAGCATCCAAGTAGGCGAGTCCAAGCAAAGCAAAACAAAGCAAAGCGCAGCGAGTGGTTGGTGGAACGGATGGGGAATAAACACAAGCACGTGGCGGGCGGACGAAAGCTGAATTGGTGCCGGCGGGCGGCGGCGCTTCCCGCCGAGCGTCGACCGTGCCCTTCCGTAACGCATTTCGCCTGGCACGCGAAGCCGGCGATCCGCCGCTTGGCAGCTGCGGGCGGGCGTCGACGAGGCCATCTCCTTCGGCTGGAGTCTCCATACGTACGACCGCCGCGCGGTGAGCAGGAGAGGGAGGAAGAACGGGTTAACTGACGGTGATGGTGGGTCTTTGCCGGTCTGGCTGGAAAAACCGTGAACTGGCTCTTTGCCCAATAACCAACTAGACTAGTAACACTTCATGGTTTATTAATGATTTACATTCAATATTATGCGTATTAATTTGATGCGAGGTCAAATTTTTGAAAATTTACCTTAAATATTCTGTTTTTTGGTTGAAAATGAACCAATGAACGGACAAATAAAAACCTAGCAGACTAAGGCATAGCCTAGTGGTGGGGGGCACCCACCCAGGTTCACGACATGATACTTGCAATTTGAGTTTGTTGCATCAATTATACTATAGGGGTTCCCTTACCGTATTTCTGTCAAAAAAAATAAAAAAATAACCTAAACCGACAACCTCACCTGTTTGGTTTTTTAAATTGCAAGGCCGCCTACATGGACACCCGCCCCTAATTTGATGTTAGGCAACAAATACCAATTGCTCATGAAAATATTGGGTTGCATCCACATAACGTAGAAATTCGCCAAACGAAAAACTAAGTCTGATTGGACACAGTTCAAAAAAGTTGATTTGCATTTCCCCCTTTTGGATACTTTGTGCTGGCTGTAAAAGTATCCTTCAAAAAGAACAGTGAAATGCTCATCTGCACTCTATACATTTTGAGAGCCTGTAAGAAGATGCAATATTACAAAGCGAGTGTGTCGGGCAATTCATTTGATAGGCACATATATACCTTTCTGAACAAGCCACAACTTCTTTTATTCAGAAAACTAGAAACAAAGTGAGAGCCGCCATCAGCTCTGCACCTGGCAGGAGACATCACGAAGCAGCAAACTTCAGCAACTTTCGAGGTAGACTACAAAGTTTGTAAGAAATAGAAAAACCAACACTACTCAAGAGTACAGCAGTAACTTGCAAGAGTGAAACAAACTTGTAATCAACGTACCAACCGTACTATCTGCATCCGTATCTCGCATCACTAACTCGCCAATCCCGTTCGACATAGAACATGTCCTTGGCTCACAGGGTTGGCAGAACCGTGAGATCCTAAATAATTTCTGCCTGATTTTCAGCGTGACTATCGTGCTAGTACCAATCAAAAACATCCAGGTCAACATCATCAGCATTTCCAGCTGCAACATCCTCCCCTTCTTTGACCTCAGATTGGAGCGTGCCCATCTCTTCATCTGACAAATTCGAAACGTTCTCAACACTGATGTTAGTTTCAGAAATAACATCATTTCCAGTGTTCCCTTCAGTTGACGCAACCTCTTGTTTTTGTGTACTGTTGATGTCTTTGAGCGAATCTTCAATGTTGAGCTGTTTCATTACTTGTTTTAAATACAAGTTATCTGTATACAGTTGTAAGACAGAAGAGTTAGGTTAAGCAAAATCACAAGTCAGAAATCAAAATATATGGGCTGGACCAGGTATAAAGCAATCGCTAACCTCTGGAGCGATGAAGTATAGCATCGTGGACTTGCATTGGATGCTTTTTGTCCTCACTTTTAAACTTTTGCCGTACCTGATCGCGGGACTTATCTGGGAATAGTTGCTGTATCATTGCAAAATCGCTACCAAATTGTCGAAGACCCTGGACCAGAACAGATAAAAAAGTTGGAAGTTTCCCATAGGCAAGCCAAAACGTCAGCACAAAAAAAAGGTATATTCAACATTAAAATAGTAGCAAGCACTCCCTCTGTAACTTTTTGTAACACGTTATTAGAGTCCATGACAGTGTCAAAAAACATCTTATACTATTAAGTTATAGAGGGTGTAGTTGATTTCCAAATACCTGGTAAAACAAGTCAGTGTCAGATTTTGTCCATTTGGCCCGTGTCTTTTTGTCCATATAAGAATGGTAATTCAGTTTAGTAGCATTTTCTAGTGCATGATTCTCTGTTCTGTCATTGTCATAGTTATCTCCAAAAGGATCAAAATCGTCAGTATCTCCAAAATGGGAGCTGCTGTGAAAAGACATCAAGAAAGAACAGGACAGGCGAAAGTCAGTGAAATCATGATTAAAGCAGCAT